CCCGCCGCCTTACTTCATGATGGCGCCGCCGCTCACTGCGCCTGCGCCCGCCGCCGCGCATGCGCGCTGCCCGCCCGCCGCCGCGCAGGACCGAGCCGCGCAAAGCAACACCCAGAGCTGGCTGGAACCGCAGAGACTTTATTGGGGTGACCGTGACAGAGGGCGGTTGCGGGCCCTGCTCAGCACGGGCAGGAGTTTTTACCGTTGGCATCGTGCGTTGGCTCCAGCCTGCGGGGCTGGCCCGGCCGCCCCTCCAGGTCCCGGCAGAGCAGCGAGCGCTGCGCCTTCAGCCGGCAGGCCAGGCACATGAAAATGGCATCCACGTTCTGGCTCTCCTTAGGGTCCTTGGCCGAGGTCTCAAACAAAAGCATGTTGTGAGCGTCGGCGAACTTCAGGGCCATGCTGGATGGCACTTGGATCAGGTCTTTCAAGTCACACTTGTTCCCAACAAGCACCCTGGGGACCAGGGGGGGCACTGCATGCCCATTGCACTCCTCGATCCAAGTCTTGAGGTTGGTGAAGGAGGTCATCTTTGTGACATCATAGACGAAGACGACGGCATGCACATTGCGGTAGTAATGCTCTACCATGCTCTTCCGAAACCTCTCCTGGCCAGCCGTGTCCCACACTTGCACCTAGGAAGCAAAGCAGGCAAGAAAGAAAGGCCACAGGAGCACTGAGTGTCCATCCCGGCGCAGGGCCTGCTGCCTGGGGAGCAGGCTGGCTTGCTGAACTCCCTGCTGGAGGGTGCAGGAGGGCTTCCTGCTCCTCCACCTTTGCCAGTGGCGCCACAGCTGAGGCAGGGCACAGGCAAGGCAAGCCTTGCAGGGAGAGGCAATCTCTTCTTAGAGGAACCAGGACTGACGGATGAGTTACACAAGCACTTGCGCCTGCACTGACAGTGCCCAAGGCTGTGTATGACAGGGCACATGCTTGTGTAATTCAACCAAGCCAGCCCAGCTCATGTAGTAAGAGAGATCACAGCACTTTCATCAGGGAGCACCGGTCCCTGCCTCCTGTCCTTTTCCTGATGCACTTGACCACCATCCCCACCACAGAAACAAACCGCACAAGGCATTTATTTCACATTCTTGTGCCAGATCAGGACATTTGTCCACCTAATCCCACGCCGTAAGAGAGAATCCCAACAGTTACACAGTGGTACATACAAAGGAGTCAGGGCAAAGTGAAGTTGAGGAGGGAGAACCACCCTTTCTGTGAAAGAGCAGTGGGAAGAGATGGGTGAGCAACCAACTGAGAGCTTGTGGGTGAGGATTAAAGAGCAGACCAGCATGGGTGACATTGTCAGGAGTGTCTGCTATAGGCCACCTGACCAGGAAGAACAAGCAGATGAGGTCCTCTAAAGACAGATAGGAACAGCCTCATGTCTGCAGGCCCTGGTCCTGTCACTGATGACAACTTCCTGACCCAAGTGAAAGAGGAGCCAACAAGCTCCTGGGCTGGATGAGCAGACAGTGTGGTGACTGGAAACTGGCTGAACATCTGGGTCTAGAAGGTGGTGATCAGTGACACAAAGTCTAATTGAACACGGTAACTAGCAGTGTACCCCAGGGGTCAATACTAGGTTCAGTCCTGTTCAACATCTTCATTAATGATCTGGATGGTGGGGCAGATTGTGCCCTCAGCAAGTGTGCAGATGGCACCAAACTGGGAGGAGCGTGGCTAGGATTTCAGATGGTTGTGCTGCCATCCAGAGGGACCTCAGCAGGCTGGAGAAATGCACTGACGGGAACCTCATGAGGTTCAATAAAGAGAAGTGCCAAGTCCCATCCCTGAGGAGGAACAACTCCAGGCACCAGTACACAGGGGACCACCCACCTGCAAAGTTGCTCTGCAGAAAAGGACTTGGGGGTCCTGGTAGACACCAGGTTGAACATGAGCCAGCAGTGTGCCCTTGCAGCAAAGGTGGTGAATGGTATCCTGGGCTGCATTACACAAAGTATTGCCAGCAGGCCAAAGGAGGTGATCCATCCCCTTTATTCAGTGCTGGTGAGGCCACAGCTGGAGTGCTATGTTCAGTTCTGAGCTTCCCAGTACAGGAGAGGCCCATATAGACTGGAGAGAGTCCAGCAAAGGGCCATGAAGATGATGAAGGGACTGGAGTGTCTCACCTAGAAGGAAAGGCCAAGAGAGCTGGGACAGTTTAGCCTGGAGAAGAGAAGGCTCAGGGGAATATCTTACCAATGTGTATAGATACCTGAAGGGAGACTACAAAAGGATAGAGTCTGACTCTTTTCAGTGGTGCCCAGTGCCACAATGAGAGGCAATGGGCACACACTGAAATAGAGGAGATTCCCTCTGAACATCAGGAAACACCTTTCACTGTGAGGGTGACCGAGCACTGACCCAGGTTACCCAAGGAGGGTGTGGAGTAGATTTGAGTACCATCCTTAGAGGTATTCAAAAGCCACGTGGCTATGGACCTGGGCAATGAGCTCTGGGTTGCTCTGCTTCAGCAGGGGGTTGGAGCAGACAGCCTCCTGAGGTCCCTTCCAACCCACACTTGCTGTTAGTCTGTGACTCTGAGTTCTTCTGGCCCTTGGAGGTAACATACTAAAGCCTATAACTGGCAATTTCCAAACAAATGTCTTGGGTTAATCCAAACTGGCCTGCCTCAGAGTATTATCAGAGTGGAAGAACGCTGGCAAAGAAGAGCTGCTATTCATTCATTTCCCTGCCAGTCTCTCCTAGGTTGTTCCATCTGGGCAGAACATGAGAGAAGGGTACCGTGCCCTCACCCACCTCTCACTTCCCTCTTGGACACATGGTCCCAGGAGAAGGCCAGTTTGCTGCGCTGCCTCCCACTCCTGCCTGCTGGAGCACAAATAATATCCAAAGGTAGAAAGCCTGGCAACATTTCCCAGCTAGTGGCAGTAAGACAGGCTTCATGCCAGCCTGCACTACAGCTTAGAACAACACAGCTATGTGGTGGTGGATATAGCTGGGGGAGGCAGGGGGAAAAAATGAGCACCTCTCCTCTTAAAGGAGAGAGAGAAAAACGTTCATGGACAGTTTAAAAGCACAGCTGAAGTTCTTACCCACCAATAGCAGCTCTATTTTCATCTTGATTAGTCCCCCAACTTTTGATTGCCCATCTGTCAGCAAAATAGCAATATTTGCTTCTTCCAGCAGTCAGTCTTACACTAGACAGCTGTCGGTGCTGATCCACCTAACCAGGCAGGCCAAGTTCGGCTGCAAACGGTGCTTCCTGGGCTGTTTCCTACCAGCTGCTGCTGATCTGCAGATCTGCTCTGACACATCAGCCAGAGCTCTCTGGGTTTGGGCTGATGCATTTCTTACAGGTGTCACACTGGCCTTCGTACAGCAAATTCATCCTATTCTAATTTTGCTGAAATTGCACCCTCCCAGTGCTTGCTGACAGCAGTCTTCAGCATTAATACTACAGCTGCCAAGCCCACTGCAACCAGCTCATGCAAGCTCCTGGCCTTCCAGCACAGCCACTGCCAGCCTACAACCATCTGCTCCCCCGAAAACACGCTGGTTTCTGCATACAGCTCCTTCCCCCAGCTCCCCACAGCTCTGCCTCTCTTTTGGTCCAGCTTCAGAAGCTGGAGGCCGCCCTGATGCTTTGAGGACACGGTTATGCTGCCTGTCAGGAGAGCAGGAGGACAGCAGCGCTTCACCCCAAACAATCCTTTCAGACCGCCTGCGAACCCCATAAATAGCACGGAGGCAGCAGGGACAGGCTCAGAAAGTGTCCCCGCAACACGGGGAGGAGAAACCTTCCCCTGTTCCCCTTCCTCGAGTTGGGCTGAAACCAGAAAAGCCCCCGGGAGGCGTCTGGGGTGCAGAGCGGCAGCTCCGGGGCAGGGGCTGCCTTCCCTGCCCGGGCCGCTGCCGGCCAGCCCCGGGCCCGGTGCCGGTGCTGCCGTGGCCCACCTTGATGCGCTCCCCCTCGATCTCCACCGTCTTCTCGCGGAAGTCCACGCCGATGGTGGCCTCGGTCTTGTCGGGGAAGGTGCCCCCGCAGAAGCGGAAGGTCAGGCACGTCTTGCCCACGTTCGAGTCTCCGATCACGATGATCTTGAAGATGCGGGTCTGCACGTACGGCTCCAGCG